GCGTCTAAAGGAACGTATTGGATTCTTTGTAACGGCTAATCGAAGGACGGAACGTCGAAATACTGCATATCGGGCGAAAATGGAAATCAAAAGGAAAAAGGTCGTGCGTCATCACGGCTTTTCGTCGCAATAAAACTGGTCCATAATTTTAAATGTCCGAATTTTGATATTATATTTTCGCTCCCAATTCTGCTTGTTTAATTTCAAAATTCTCTATAAAAATAATGATTAAAAAAACTTTCATTGTTATAATATTTTTTAATAATTATATTAAATGTATTCCAGTAATTTAATTTGGATTCAGATTCTTTTCTTTAGCAATGTATATATCTCGCATTTCTCTTTCAGCAACCGTAAAATATATTAATTCATATCCGAAGAACGCAATCATCTTCTGCAATATGCACAGCTTCTTTGAGAACTGACTATTTGTTCTCTATTTCACTTAGTTCTTTCTATAGATTAGGATATCAGGGCTCAAAGTATTGGGCGAATCCAAAAGTTCGACGGGCAGAAATGGCAAAGACGGCGATTCGGTAGGTCGGCGTCGATAGCTTCTTCCCGGTGAAGCTAACCCTAATATATTGGATCGAGTTTACAGGGGGATGGAGTCACGTTGCGCGGGATAGAGCGGGTGGAGGTCCGCGAAGGTAGGGGCTGAGGGGTGGAAAGGTTACGGGTCATAAACCATCCTCAGTCGCTGAAATCGTTCTATATGCGAGTTTGTGCGTGTACGTGTACGCGCGTCCATCTACTTCCGGATCCGTGGTACACGTGTGATGCTCGCGCAGCATGAAGTAGAAGTTGTTTACTGCCTTCTGCGAACTTCTAAAGTAACGCGATTCACGAGAGTGTGCTATACATCAATCGATTTAATCTTAGAGTCGATGTGACATATATTAATGCTTATGAGATATCGATTCTGTATGATGGAATGTATTTGGCACACAGGTTGAGAAATTCCGAGGAACATTTTAGAACGGGAATATGAAATAAAAATTTTCGTGGGATTTTTGTATTAAAGTAATATCTTTCGAAAGTACTTTCAACAAATCGAAGTGATTCATACCCATCAACTTTAGAGTATTTGTAGGAGCTCGAAAAACGCATGAAACACGGACGATTCGGATTGAGAACCACGACGGGTGTGTAATATGAAGATAAGATGTCCCCCATGTTCCCATGTGCCAGGCTTCTCGATCGGGGATTATGTTGCCATCCACATTGGCTCACCCCTCCCCTCCACCCCCCCCAAAACATCTCGTCGTAGTGCGCCGACCAGTCAGCTCAAACTCGTAACCTTTCGCACTCCTACAGTCTGTTATTCCTCATGAATCTTTACTTTTTTATTCGTCGTATTCAAGGTAATCGTCTTTTTCTGCTTCTCGAAATCATTTGTATCTCCCCTCAGAATAATGTGTAATTTCAAAGACGAGTGATTCTCTCCAAGTTACTTGTACCTTTCGATAATTTACGGCACTCTTTGAGAAAAAAAAAATTATTGAATTATGTATTTATGTAATTTCGAGAGATGATGCGCAAGATGGTTCCTTCATGATTTTTTAACATAACGCTCTTTCACGCCCTTATGGCGCGCTCACGACCGTGCCTCCCCCATGTTATTTTACAGAGATGGCTAAAGTACGTTTTTATGAATCCACCAAAAATGTATACATCTCGTGTGTTACATTCTGCAGGATATTTTCTGGTCACTTTTTTCTCGTCATCACATTCGACAGATGAAAGCACATCTCTGTTGTTGCTTTGATAGTGATTGTACAATAACATTTTCCTTAGACGATTCAATAATTTAAAAAAAATCATACTCGATAAAGTTGCAAGATCAAGAATGGTAGTAAGTTATGTAGTATTGTTAAAATAATATTTTTTGGCGAAATTATTTATTAAACTTAAAGAGAATTGTTTTTAAATTGTTTTAAAATATTCGACATAAAATACATTGTATTTGGATCGTGTGTGCGACACGCAGTCAGAAATATGGAAAATAAACTTAAGGATTATAACTGGTGTCAAGAATCTCCTCATTCGTATCCACGAAATATTTCCTCAATTTTCCAGAGAAACACTCTTATTCCTTTTCACCCCTGACATAAGAAATCGTCAGCATTCCGAATGGTAAGTCCAGTGTCAGCCTAATGTATGTCCTGCATGGTGAGGGTGTGCTTGATTCATTTCACCCTCGGGGTCCCCGGCGGCGGCGCGCATTCGCCACGCTTTTCAGGAGTCTTTTCGCTCGGTTTCGTGCACGCGAATCGAAAATCCACCCGGCAAGACTTTACATGGGCGTCATAAGCTGACGCACTTAATTTAAAGATCGTCCCAGCGTCGAAAAGTCTCAAAAGCGAGAGTCGTTTCCCCTCGATTTTTCTCTCTTTCTTTTCTTTTTCGTCGCAGTTCATGTAGTTCCACGGGGGGGCGGCTTTACAATCCGGACATTCCACTTTACAGTTCATTTCGCTTGCGGCGGCGCTCTTTTCCTCTTCATCGAATTATTCTCAGCTCGACAGTAAAAACTTTTTCGAGTATGATAGACCTATTTCCGAGGTGCTGTTTCACGCACAATTTTGATCAAATTACATGCTTTGCTTGTCTCTCTAATGCTTCCACGATTATCTGCAATCGTTTATTTATTTTATTATTTATACCAAGTATCTATAAATGATTCATAAATTAATGGCAACTTATTTTGTATACTCAACATATTTTATATTTTAATATTAATCTTATGAGACGTAAATTTGTCGAATGTACAAAGTTTGATCCTGCATCTAATCGGCACGGATTTTCATCAATTAATCGATTTTGCGATATTTTATAATTCCAATTGATTCGATCGTTATTGACGCAAAATTCGGGATGTCAGTAACGATAAAATAAGAAAGAAAAAAGAGAAAGAAAGAGGGTCGCAGCTGCGTAGGCATGTGGCAAATTGCCGAGCTGCCTCCTAGAAAGGAACCGTTCACGGAGATGGAGGCGCCTCCGCGTAGGACGAAGTAGGAAGAGGACCGGTAGGAAGGACGAAGCGGTAGAGAGGCGGATGTACGTAGCGGCGGTACGAAGGGACGATCCGATGCGAAGGCAAGGTGGAAGGCAGAGGCGGCCAGTAATCTGTGATTCAAAGAGAGCGATCCATCTTGCGACATGCCAGGATTCAATCGGCGGCATTTGTTTGTGAAATCAGTCCCGAAGGACTCTCTCTTTCTATCGTACCTCGCTCTTCCTCGTCCTCTCCCCTGTCCGATTCACCGATTGTCTCAGCGCGGGCAAAACCCGCAGGACCAAAGTACGTGAATGGAAAACGCCGGATTTGTTTTATCGAAAGTGGCGTGCAGGAAACGATCCTGATCCATAATTAACGAGAACGGATATGACAAACAAATTTGAGTACTTTATAGCGACATTAGTTGTGTGTGTACGAAGTCTAATACTTATAAGTGTTTAAATATGATTTTATCTCGAAATAAGAATTAATAATTAATTTTCTGGATAACGTTTAAAGAAATTGTTGGATGACGTCATCCGAAATATTTTCATCAGCGAGCGGCAAAGGAGCGCCGGCGGGGCGTGCCGCATGATCGACGCCAAGCAGGGCTAATAAGGCCATATATATTTATTCAGCTAGTCGGGGGTGGATTTTATATCCCTGGACAGGACTGGAGAGATACGAAGAGATGGAGGGAAGGAGAGAAAGGGAGAGGCGGAGGGAAAACGTCGGGGAGAAAAAGACGACGGCGCGGCTTAGCATTCGGAAAAACCGGAATATACCGACGATAGATTCGTGTGTCTGATCCGTGCCAGATCCCATAAAATGACCCTAGCCACGATCGAGTGCCCGCCGTGCCTGTGCCCCTGTAGTATCGCGCGCGAGAGACTACCCCAGAAAATTATTGCTCTCCTTATACATTCGTTGGTACTGCCGAATTGGAACCGAGTCGAATAAACTTGTGCTCTTTGGATACGATCGGGAAAGAACGATAAACGAAAAAGAGAATGACGTACGCGAGAAAAAAAAGAGACAAAACTGGAAATGAAAATATATGAGAAGAAAAAGTGATCCTTTGATGTCTTTTTGGAGAAGCTAGTAGAATCTACTCGAAAGAAACAAGTTTTGCGCGATTATAAAATAAAAATAAATGTTTATTTGAAAATAGAAAAATTGCAAAAGAGAGAGAGAGAGAGAGAGAAAGTTGATATTTAATCAAATTTTCATCAAGACTAGTAATTGTACATTTGTCAAAGAATAAATGGAAAGAATGAACGATGTATGTATAAAACGAAGAATATCGTTTAAATGGCTGCCATAAATATCAAGTGCCTCGTATCAGAAAAACTGCGCAGTGTTATCATTCTAGTTAGCGATAGAGGAAAGATACATAATCTTACAAAGAGCGCAAGACGTTATATATAACATGGAGCGTGCGAGTCGGTCTTATTGTAGCACGCAATCGCTGAATCATAAATATCGCGTTAGCTACAATTACCAGAAGAATAGTAACGGAATAACTTAATAAGCGGAGTCACTCGGGTATATGCAATAATGTTAACATTGCGCCAGGGTACATTACGCTAGACCCTCGAGCCGACTTTCCAATATATTAGCAATTATTACAATACATTACACGCTTACGCGCACGCTTTTTAATAATTGCCATAGTTAAATCTAATACCGCGCTGCTATTGTTTGTATCTCAGATTGTTGCAATAAAACTGTTGAGCAACGATGAAGTTGCCGTGAGTATCAGAGCATTACTGGTTGATTCTTCGATAATATGTATGTATATATATATATATATATATATTATTTTTATTATATATATATGCATGGTAGGTAATGAGAAATAAAAGTAACAAAATTTTCCTATAATTGTATCAACTTTACATTTGTGTAATTTTAATAATTTGTCTCATTTTGTTGAAATAGAAATGTTTTAATATTTATATATATATATTAGCAAACATTTATAATATTAGAAGATAGATTTTATTAATCTTATGTTATTTTGCATTTTATGTTTGCAAATGTACAAATTACAATGTATTTGCCGCTGGCTTCTCACATCACTTCTAGTCGAGCTCTTTCTGCAAGCCGTAATGGTACTCGAGGAACCTGTAACCTTGCGTGATTTGAGCTGCGGAGTTAGTGAAGTGGCACGCAAACAGCAGCAAATTTCGCGGTTGCACCTTCCAAGCAAACCGCATGAATATCAGAGAATACAGGGTCAAGGCTGAAAATTGCCCGGATAGAAAATTAAATCAAGTAAAGAATTTATGCGCTATCGAATCTATCTTTATTGTCTTTTGTAAAAGAGTTAATCAAAAAGCCGCAGAAATAAAGTAAAATAAAAATATGTTACTTGCTTTAAAGATTTATTAGTTCACTATAATTAACAAAAAAAAATTTTTTTTAAAATAATGTAGTTTATAATATTTTACTATAATAATTTGCTTGTAAAATCGTTTGAGATCGGTATGCATCCCAAATATTCGCGGCGTGTTGCTCATTAAGAAATAAAACGGTTATTTGCTGCGCTCGAGCAGCAATTATTTTATGGGCCCTTTTCAGGCCCCTCTCCCTTCTTACTGTTCGCTATGCACCTTCTTGCTCTCTCGCGATACGTGATTATTATGAGATGGAGAATGAATTCTTCGAAAGGTCCACTGGAGCTATGTCAAACTCACCCACAGTCATTTTGCCGCTAATGATTTTTGGATGCTTTTGCGTGTCGGTTATAGTTGCTATGGGTATCGACCAGTTGAATACCGGGCCCCAGAAGTGTGTGCTTAAAAAGTAGTTCATTTTCCATAAATTATGCTCTTATGACGATCGTGCGAATACTAAAATATCGAATAAAGAGCCGTCTCGGAGAAAGAAAGAGAGAGAGAAAGGAAGGAGAAGAAGATAAACGTATCGTTTATCTATGTGTGTAATAAAATGATTTCATGCGTTAATTCTATACAATTTATAAATCAATTAAAACTGTATTTTTAATATTGGAAATTGAAAAACTATAAAGCACATTTACAAGCTTCGATATTTTTGCTGAGAAAAAAAAATCAATTTAAAATTTGTCAAAGCTACATATGAAATTTTATATTACGGTGGATGACTATTATTTGAAAAGAAACAGTGTTGATTAAACATAATCATTATAATTAGTTTTAGTTGCTCTTTTTTATACACACATATTAGAATATTAAATTAATTTATTTTAATAATTTATTGAGTGAACGTTACCTCATGAGATAATCTTTGGTTTCTTTGGTTAGCAGAGATTTTATTCGTTTAGACATGATGGAGGATATTGCGACACGTTTCCTATTTAAAAAAAAATTTTTTATTTGCGTTCGAAGTCATATGGCACGCAGAAAATTGATTATATTTATTTTACATATAACCTAAGCAGCTTTGACACTGACAGTTCCAACTGAAAGGCGTCTCGAGATCAAGCGATGATAAAGTTAATATCCAAGAACATTGTTGATTTCCAAGTAGCCGTCACTTCCGTTACCGTGAATTGCAATGCGATTTATCACAAGCGCGCGATCTCATTTATCGCCTCTAATTTCTAATCAATGATGATTTGCGCGATAATTTTCTGTTTAAATGTCTGTGTTTCACACGATTGATGCAATTGCACTATCACACCGTTTATATCTCTTTTAAGAAATTAAATTTCAAAGCGCAAACATACTTTCGAAGTACTGAAGCATGATAAGCGAAATGACGTTATCACGATAAAAGGTAAGAGTGTAAATCATTTCTCAGTATCAGCAATGCAATTTTTATATTTTTTACACTTTAATTTTAGATCGCTTCGAAACTAACATGCGTCTGTTATAATAATTCTAAAGCGCGCAGATTTTTCAGTCGGATCTGTAACTACTAAATGCTATCTGTGTAGCTGTCGCTCGAGTCATCAGAAAACCGGATTTCAAGTCGCGAGAGTCGTCTCTTGCGTCGCTGTTTACACTGTTTACGAGTGTCGACAGATACAGTTTCGAAATAGGCATATATTTTCTTGATGCACTCGCTGATCCGTGTATCAAGGTCGCCCATTTATCACCACGTACGATTTATCTATCCGATACAAATAGAACAGCGCGCAATCATCACACATGTTTATCGCATTTGCGACACACCTTGATTTACATATATTTCAATATTAAATCCATTTCATAATATGCGTATGTGCGTGTGTATAGAGAAAGATAGAGAGTGCGTTATAGATTTTTAATCTTTATAATTGTATATAATTTTGCATATAAATAATGATAACTTTGTAATAAGATATACTTTACAAAAAAATATATAATTTCCTGAAACATAATTGCTTGTGTTCCTTTTATTTACACAATCGATTTGCCAATTTTTTCACTGACTGATCATTAGACAAATTGCACGCACTGATCCATCTTTTCTCAAGACCCTTCGCCGTTCGTCGATCGATTTACATCATAGTTTATACGCATATTTATCACGATCCGGGCGTATACTTTTTTTACATCGGTTTTCGCAAGAGGCCACTCCCCTCATAATAAATGCACAAGTTATTATTTCGCGCGTATAATATTGATGGCGCTATGAATGTTGCATGGAGGGGTATGTGGCGCTCTGGACGCGGCTCAACGGGGGTGCAAACCAGCTCGCGTATATGGGGGTTGTAACGGAAAATGCTGCGGAACGCATGCGCTGCTACGGGAATGGTATTATTGATCTAAGAAGAGGATGGACTATGGGACCCTCGAAGACCAGCAGTGTGTCGAGGAGATCCCAGTACCCTTGGACTGACGATATTTCAAGTTCGATAAGAAGCATGATCGCTCCAGCCCCGAAATAATTTCTTTTTTATGTAGTAATAAATTGCATTATTTCATACAAGTTTTCGGCATGCTTTTCTATGCAAAATGTAATTGTTATATTTTATAATAATATGCTTCTAAGAGTGTTAGTTTTTTTTAGTATTATTATACTTTTGAATTTTATTTTCAATCAGTACTGCAAGATCTAAAAGATATTAATATTTATTTAGGTAATAACTGATCAATGTAAATTGTTAATAAAATATTCCCATTTTACTTTATAATTTTCAAAACAAGACATTTCAAATACAGACATTTTAAATATTTAATACTTACACTAAATGCAAATTGAATATAATCTTTATCTCTTTCTTTTATTTAAATTTTTGCAGTTTTATATCAACTCCTTGCGTATTGGCAAACCAATTTTTAGATCAAGAGAATAAAATTCTTTTATTTATTTAGTTATATAAAATATAATGCGAAAAAAAGCTTTTCTTCTTTACTTTATTCAATGTATCCAATTTTCAGGAAGATCTCGATTGTATATCACGCGCCCCAACGAGTGCTCAATATACACGCACCTAGGATCGACTGTTCCCTGCATATGCATTCCCGTATGTAGCATTCGCACGAGTGTTTCTCTCCCTTTCCGAAAGCAAATCCTTATCCCGCGGCCCCTAGGTCCCCCAGGTCACCATTCGAGGCACTCAAGAGTATTGCCACTATTTTTCGTTTCGCGTATTACGCCGTGCAGCATTTCGCGAAATTCCGGGAATGTCATTTACACGCGACACTCCCTTTGACGTGTATCAATATTTATTTTAACTTCTCAGTTGCTTCGAGATTGTTAAATTTATTATAAGTATATAATTCTTCGTTTTCAGAATTCAGAATTTATAGATTTAAATATATATATAATGTCGTTCAAAACACTATTTTTTTTAATAAATAATAAATTTACTTACAAGCAAAACTGCTAAAATTTTTTTACAAAAATAAAATGTTAATATATATTAAATTATAAAAAAGAAATACAATTTTATATTACAACGAGTTAAAACTATATCAAGAGAGAACAATTGTTTGAAGTTTCGACAATTTCATGAATTATTTGCGCGGAACGTAGAATCGCGAAGAATCGTCGCTTTGTCGAAACGAAGTTTTCTCTCTCACGCATTGATTCTTGCGAAGTACAAAGCAACAACACGCGATACATTCGCACGTATTTCATTTGTATTCGGCCGGAGAAAATGGCACGGCCTCTGATGTCTCTTGCTGACGCGCCCCGAAAAACCTTTTCTACTTCTCGGTCGTCGTCCCCGCTTGTGGGGTTTCCCTCGGCCCGTCGAGACTGATCTGAATGCGTCGTACGTATTTGCCAACACCCCCGCTACGCTCTTTTCAGAATCGGTCGTCGACAAGCACTCGTCGCTCCGCACACGACACGACTTTCATCCCTCTGCGAATAAAAAGTCGCGCGTCCACGTGAGTTCGACGGGAAATCGGCGTCGCCAAATCCGTCACGCACGAAAGTAACATGATTGTAAATTTAAAACTGCGTTTCTATTCATATATTCTATCCGGATGCTGAACTTATATTGAAATAAATATTAAAAAACAGATATTATAAAAAGTTTATAGAACAGTATGTTGTATTATAATATATATTAAATAATTCGTTAATAACTCACGATTGTTTTGCAATCATAAATTTCTGACCATATTTTTATGACTTTCATATTTTTGTCACGCTCGCGACTATTGCATTCCTCAATGTAAGTTTCATTAAAACTTCACTCACGATTTATAATTACCAATTGGACTTAAACATAAAATAAAAGCGTCCTTTCCTTCAGTAAAACCATTTTTAAATTTGTGTCCGCTCTGACAATGCTTTTAATTACTCGCCCGCAGAGTTCGATGTACAGATCGAATTATAGGCTGCAATGCCGACGTATGAAATGGGCACTTCGATTGATACCAAGTTAATTAGTGTACAATTAAAGGAGGAATAATTGCTAGATTCGATCGCCCTAACGGAATGTCCGTTAAAATATTTACCAATTTATTTCTCTTTACTCTCTCATTTTATATATCATTATGGGCAAATTTGAAAATTTGTAAAATTGCGAGCATTTGATTACCATCGATTGTTCTCTCGTCCATTCTCGCGACACAAAAATCATTAATTTTATACAAGCTCTTTGCAGGACTTTGTATCGAATTTGCGCGCGGCTTAGTAATTCATACTTCTTAATTGTGGAATCGCGCTATCTGGTCGGGGTGTTGGTTTCTGTGCTTTTCGCGGGGAATAAAGGAATCTGACATTCTTGCAGGCGTTCTCTTGGTTACGCTCGTACATCAACGTCACTTAAAGTCAGGAAAATTTCTCTTAACAATTTTTCTCGCCGCGAGCTCCAGGCGCAAAAGAAATTGTCTGCAGGTATGTATCTTTCGGCGTAATAGCCGGATAAAATATGTCATATGATTTATATATCATATAAGTCAATGCGTTATACTGCCGGGTTTAATTTAAGAAAACTGTGTATTTTAGTTCAAGGATAAGTAATATTGAATTCAATTCAATTTAATCGCTATGTAAATATTTAATAAATTTTTATTTTTATATCTCATAATAACAAATTAAACTTTTGTGCTTGCTAATTCTTGCAAAGCTACTTAATGGTTCGTCGATCTAGATGAATATTCAATATTATCAATGAGTAAGATTCTTCGAAGTTTTTATCTAAAGAGAAAGAGAGATGGAGAGTCACAAAATTCCCGACATTCTCTCTGGTAATTAAATAACGACTTCAGACAGATAGACAAAGATACATGTTCCTCGCAGGTTTTTTGTTTATGTGGGCGTTTCAAGTAACTTTTTTTTTTAGAAATACTCTTATATTAAATTCATGAAAAATGTATATGTCTGTTACAACAAATCTGCTAGTAAAAATTCTTAAACCACTGCAGAATTCAATTTCTTACATATGCGCAAGCAAATAAGTTCGCGAAGAGATGTAGATGCAGGCAGAGTGGCATGGTGTGACCAAAGTATTGATTTTCCGCATTTGTCAGTACGCCGATGTAGTGCGTGCGGCAAAGCTATGACGTTCGATTCGTGAACCATTCAACGTACCCTCTTTTCCGATGCATTGCCGTAGCAGTCCCGCACTTAGGACAGGGCGGCATTCATGCGACGAGCGAATGCAAAGAGGATGCGTGGGCGGTTCGGCGGTCCGACCAGCCACGTGCAATCTCCGAAAAGCGTCGGGGAAGAGACTTATGAGGGCTACACGTGAATACGAACCATTATTCCGCGCGATAAAGCAATTTCCTCGCACTCACGGAATTATGTTTCTGCTATTTAGCATCGGCCCCGATATCAAGCGAGAAAGGAAAGGAGAATGCGGTGGAGAGTGTGGGGGGAAAGCGGCGGAGAGGATAGGAAATGCGAGTAGGGAAAGCTCGATGAACTACCGCGAAAACGGGAGAGCAAACGGAAATGGAAAC